AGGAATGCCACCTGGGCACAGGTGACACCTCATCTGAGCACCTGGCACGCAGCAGGTGCCTGGTAGCACCAGTTCCTGTTCTTGTAGGTGGAAATAGGTGCTGAGACTTTGGCCTTCTTAGGGCTGGGGGTGGGGCTTTCCCAGGCAGTCCTGTGCTTTAGGTGTCCTGGGTGGGGGTCTCATTTACGTCATAGACATTGGTAACGCTCCTCAGAGAGACCACCAGGCAGTGTCCTTAAGCACAGCCCAGCTTTGTGGGACCCGAAATTCAGGGGCCCGTGTGGCTTAGGGCCAGCACCCAGGTGCCCTGGGCCTGGCCTCGGTGTCCTTGGCAGCAGCGGGGGACCGTGACACAGCCCTCGCAGAGCACCGTGTGGTGGTTGCATCGGGTGATATGGCCCATGGTGGGCTCTCTGTACCCAGAAGCCTGGAATTTTCTCAAACACATGGAAGGAGGCAGGATTGGTTGGCTGCGTCAGAGTGAGGTCACCAGGATGATTCACCAAGGACTGTGACCCACTGGAGCTGGACTCCTGGGGGCAGCTGGCTTGGGAGCCCAGGACCCACGCCCCTGGCCCCCAAGGCCTGCTCCAGTGCCTGCTTCTCAGTTACTCCAGCCCCTCAGAGGTGCAGGCTGCCAGCCTAGAAGGGGCCCAGGGACCTTTGAAGGGATTCTGGGGGACAGAGAGGGGTAGGTCAGCCCCTGCTGGCTTCGCCTCACTCACCCAGCCCCCACCTTAACCTTTCCTTCAAAGCGGCTATTTTTGGACGTTTCCTGTCTCTTGAATAGGTACAGAAAAAGGAAGTGAAAGGTCAACGTGTGGCTTAACAGCTGGCAAGTCATTTTCTTTACTATTAACTGTTAAAAGGATACATGTTTGGAGTGAAAAATGGCAGCTCGAGAAGCACATACGTTAAAAAGTGTAAGTGATCTCCCCCCGCCCCCCCGGTCCACCTTCCAGAAGGACCCTGGTGTGTGTGGCCGGGGCCACCCCAGCTCTGTCCTGTGTGATGGAAGAAAATAAAAAGGCAGGGAAGCCACTCTGTACACATCAACCCTGCAGTGAACACGTACTGAGCACCTACTATGTGCCAAGCATCGTGCAGATCCCTCAACTCGCTTTTCCCCCTCGACGACATGTGCCGGGCATTACGGGTAACCATTCAGGGTCAGTCGTCTTCAGCCCTGGCTGGACGTTGAACCCCTTGGCAAGATTCTGAAAGTCCCCATGCCCAGGCCCCACCCTGGGTGAGCTCCATTAGCAGCTCTGGGGGTGGGGCCCAGGTGTCAGGATTTTGAAAGTCCCAGGTGGTTCTGATGTGGAGCCAGCACTGAGAGCTGCTGCTGGGGGCACCTGCCAGCAGCTGGGAGCAGAAGCCAGTCTGCCATGTGGCACGTGGGGTGGCGCTAATGCTGTCAGGAGTCTCTGCTTTGAACTCTTGACAGTGCTGCTTTCTGTCTGGCAAAAATGAAAAAAAAAGAAAATAAAAGATTTTTTAAAAAGTCAGACAACTATCCCTTCATTTACCATAAGGTCAGATTCTCTCTTTCTCCTTGGGAAGGTGACTTTGCCAGGACCTGGGTGGGCTGGAGGTTTCGTAGCCCGTCAGTCAAAAAAGGCTGTCAATAAAGATCTGGAAGATGCCACCCGTGGGGCTCCAGTGATGGCCTATCCTTCCCCAGCTTACCCCAGAGAAAGGAAGCCCATGTCTCCTGTTCTGTTCATTTCTGTGGAAAGAATTTTATAAACACTTGCCTCCGTTCTGGAATTCGGTGTTTTGACAATTAGATAAATTACTAAGGGTGTGTGGGGCGGGGGGCGGTAGGGGTTTTTCTTTTGTTCACCTGGTGTCACCAGCATCCCAGCTGGTGTGGCTTGTGACATGAGTCAATAAATATCTGCCACATAAAGGAACCTGAATAGGCAGCACTTTTTGTGAGACACTGACCCCAGGCCCTGGCTTGGGTTCACTGGCTTGGCCTTAGTCGGCCCCTCAGAGACCCCTGTAGGAGGTGTCACTGCTACACCGCACCCAGGTGAGAAATGGAGGTTCAGAGGCCCAGGAAGTGGAGGTGGCGGGTGGCACAGTTAAGTCACCCTGTACTCTGCCCGTCCTTCACTGCCCGGCACCCCTGTCCCCCAGGAGCAGACCGCCCGCCCCTGGGCTTCTCCTGAAGGGCAGGTACATGCTTAGCCTGGCTGCCCGCGGGACACAAGATGGACAGCTGTGACCTCAAGAGATGCTTCACCTCTGTGAGCCTGCAGTGTGAGGGAGAGAAAATAGTGATCATGCCCCTAACTTGTGGGTTTGGTGCTTACGATGTGTCACCGCGCTTCAACTTTGTACTGTGAACTCATCTTATCCTCACACTCGCAAGTGAAGTGACTCCTATGATTATCCTGTCGATGACACACATCCTCCCTGTCACTGCTTTGAGCACAGCCTCTGTGCTCCTGCCCCACTCAGAGGAACAGCCCGGGCCCTCTCAGGGCCTTCGGAGCCCTGTGGGGTGCGGCTTGCTTGCTCTCTCCCCCGCACCCCACACCCTTGCTCTCCTTGCTTCTCTCCTTCCCGCCCTCCCTCCCTTTCTTCCTCCCCTCTGCTCCCTTCTATAAGCCATATCTTTATCATCTTTATACATCAGATTCCCCAACCAAGGTTTTCATTTACCTACATCTATATTTTCTTCCTTCTCGCTTTCTATTCCCTGCCAGCCTTTTCCAGGAAAGAGTAACTTGTCTACTCACTTCGTTCACATAGCAGCGAGCTTTCTTCCCTTTGCCTGGCATTCTTATCTACGGGATAAAATTGCATCACACTAAGTATACCGTACTCACACTCATCTAGGTCTCAAGGACCCCGCTAAGGAAATCGGATTCTCTTTCTGCCCGGCTCTGCCTTGCCACTTGCACGTTCCCTCAGCAAGGCTTCGCTGAGTCGCACGTGAGCTGAAACTTGCTGGAGGATTCCACAAACACTGAGTATTGTCCCCAGGGAGCTCACACCGAGGTGGAGGGCACAGTGTGTGAATCGGTACTGACGCGACTCAGAGGCTGTGCTAGGTCTTGGGACCCACAGGACTCTACAGCCAAAGGGTGGCATCTACCCCAGCTATGACCACCCAGGAAGGGCTCCTGGGTCAGGCGTCAACTGAATCTCAACCTGAATCATGAACTGAATCTTTTTAAAAATATATTAGGGTATACTTTAAATATCATGACATATACCCTATATGAGTATAAATCCAATTTTTTTTTTTTTTGGTAACTTTACCAAGTGATGCAACCATCGCCCCAAATCAATTTTAGAACATTCTCATGGTCCCCTGGGTAGGTCCCTCCCTTAAACCCACTTACAGGTGACCCCTGTGCCGACGCCAGCCCTAGACAACCACTAATCTACCGAATGCCTCTATCAATCTGCCTTTTCTGGACGTTTCGGATACGTGGGATCAGACACTACGTGGTCTCGTGTGTCTGGCTTCGTTCACTATCACATCTTGGAGGTTCATATGACAGCCTCTGTCACTCGCTTGTTCCTTTTTATTGCCGAGTAGCGTCCCCGTGAATCCATTTCCCACATTTCGCCTATTCATTAATCAATTGGTGGGCATTTGGGTTGTTTCCAGTTTGGGCTATTATGAATAATGCTGCTAAGAACATTGGCTCGTAAGTCCTCGTGTTAACGTGCTGTCATATTTGTTTACGTGTGCATTTTCTTCCGAACATTTAGAGCAAGTTGCTAACATCGTGACCTTTCGCCACTAAATACTTCTTCACACATCTCGTAAGAACAAGACATTCCCCTAAGTAACCACCCAAATTAACATGTCTGTCACATCAGCTCACATCCAGTCCACATTCAGATGGCTCGTTTCAGCAGAGGGTCCTGTCAAATTTTTGGATTTTTGCCAATCTGATAGATGAGAGCCTCTCAGTTGTAGTTACAATTTTCTTACCTCTTATCGTGATTACGAACGAGCATCTTTATACATATTCGGGGTCTGTGTGCAGTTCTTGTTCTGTGACTATCTGCTTGTGGCTTTGGGCCATTTTAAAATGATATATTTTTTTCATCTCTAAGGACACCATAAATATTAGTGAAATTAGCCTTTGTCCTTAAGTTACAAATATCGTCTCCCATTTGTTTTTTTGTTGTTTTTTTTTTTTAACTTTGCTTATGGAGCTTTTCTTTTTGGCCATAAAAAGTTTTTTGTTTTTTTTTAAATTTATCTTTAATTTTTATGTAGTTGAATTTATCAAGGTTTTTTTTTTTTTTTTTTTTTTAACTGTTTCTACATTGAAAGGCTGTCCTTACTTCCAGGTGATCAAAGAATCCTCTTACGTTTTCCTCTACAAGTTGTAAGTGTTCATTTTTAAAATCTAGACTCTGGGCCGTTCGATATTCATTTCAATATTTGGAGGGAGGTATGGGTTCGCTTTTAATCTTTTTTCCCAAATGGCTGTCCAGTTGTCCCAAGATCACTCATTAAAAAAGTCCCTTATGCTCCAGCGACTTGAGATGCCACCTTCATCATACACCAAATTTCCATACGTCCTTGGGCAAGTTTCTGGGCTTTCTATCCCGTTCCATGGGTCTGTCTGGCTGTTTATCTTCCGACTACACCAGTTCCATTGCTGAGAATTCATGGCATGTCGTGGTATCTGGTAGGGCTCACCCCCACCACACTGCCCATCTTTTTTAGTTTTCCTGGCTATTCTTGATTGCTTATTATATCCTATCAACTTCAGAACAAATTCGTTGAACTCCAAGGGAGGAAAAAAGAAACATCCTCAGGACTTTTGTGAGGATCGTGTGAAATGGATATATTTACCTGGGCCAAATGGACATCTTTGTAGTATTAAACATATTATTATCAGAGGATTACCTTTGGGATACCAGCCCTGTTAAGGATTGAATTATGTCCCCTGAGAATGATATGTTAAGTCTAATCCCCAAAGCCTCAGAATGTGACCTTATTAGGAAACGGGGTGTCTACAGAGGTCATCAAGTTAAAATGAGGTCATTTTAGGGTGGGACCTAATCTAATATGAAGAGAAAGTTTTAGACTAAGAGGAAAGTTGGACACAGGTGCATGGGCATGTGCACACACACGCACACACACACACACACACACACACACACACGGAGAAGGCCGCGTGAAGATGAAGGCAGAGTCAGGCTGATGCCTCTACTAGCCAAGGAACACCAAAGATTGCCGGCAACCCACCAGACACGAGAGGAGAGGCCTGGACCAGTCTCACTCCCAGCCTTCTTGAGGACCCGCCCCTGACCACACCTTGATCTTGGACTTTTGGCCTCCAGAGCTGTGGGGCAATATCTTTCTGTTGTATTAAGCCACTCTACTTGTGGTATGTTGTTACAACAGCCCTAACGAACTACTCCGGGAGGGTTTCTTAGGCCAGAAGTGAGCAGTCCAGCCATACCTTTGGGACATGGAGAGGCATTTGTGTACTTGTCTCTGACCCCAAGCAAGCCCAACCAGGCCCGTTTCTTGCCTGCCTGAAGTCGAATGAGTGAACCAATGAACGAGTTGGAAAGCTGGAGGTGTGACTTCACTCTCAGTGGGTGGCCAAACCCTCTGAGGTCAAGGCCAGAGAATGAATCATTTGTGCCATGCGGCTCAGGGAGTCAGGGAGCCCCAGGCAGAAAGCCTGAGTGTGGGGTATATTTCCTTTCTCCTTTCTTCTTGAACCTAGAAGCAACCCCCTAAAAGTCAGCATCCCAAGAATTAGTGAAATGGTGCGACATGCCACCCTCGTGACACGCCCACGGTGTGTTGTGCAGTGATAAGGACAAAGGACTTAGGAAATGGAGGGAGGGAGGGAGGGAGCACCGGGCACCCAGCGGAGCCGCTTCCTGGCTGCGCGCCTTAGGACAAGTTAGTTAACTTCTCTGGGTCCCACTTAGGTGCCTCGCCTCCTCACACGGGGGTGGCAATGGCACCTGCCTCACGGGTGTCACGATCACACGAGCAAAGGACCATAAGGCACTTGGCAGAGTGCCGGGAGCACAGCACGTGCTCAGTAGAGTTTGGCGATGATCATTAATAAGAGCTGCCCTCCAAAAAACGTACCCCCAAGGGCGAAATTGGGATGCATAATTTCTGAGTCTTCAGCTGTGATTTGGAACGTGCCACCAATAACGTTTCTTCCTCGTCCCTGAGGAAAAACTATGACCTCATTTGCTCCCTCCAACATTAATTAGTGTTTTCTAATCATGAAAAGGAAATTATGTCTCAATTTATACTCTGTCTAAAAACATTAGCTAACAACAGAAAGCTGTCGCTTCTCGCCTGGCGTCAGTTCCCCCAGTGGCCGGGGTGTGGCTTAGGGCCATGCTGGCAGGCTGTGTCCTTGGTTCAGGGACAGGCTTGCCTGAGTCATGGAGGCCCTGCTACTTCCTGGTTCCTCTGCTCGGCTTGTTTTCATGTGCCTGTCCAACGAACCTGCTTCGAGGTTTATGCTGGGGACAAAGAGAGGCGAGAAACCAAGTCCCAGCTCCCGGGCTAGTGGGACAGACAGAAATGGCCAGCCACGGGGACTGTTCACACAGGCTGCTGGGATTCGTCTGGTCCCACAGTGAATCTGACAGTTGGTCTCTTGGGGTTATTACTGCCCCATTTTGCGGGAGAGGAAACGAAATCTCCCAAGGGGAAAGTGGTAGATAACGGGCCCGTCTCTCAGAGGTATTTCGTCCAGACATTTCTATTCTACACCAGTGTTTATCTCCAGGTAGCTGTCCCCTGTTCTGGGCATCTTTCCTCATGACAAGATGAGTGAGGGCCCCTTGTCTGAGCCTCCCCAATGTCTACCCTGGCGCTTGGCACCTGGGTCGTACCTGTTCGTTAGCTAGTCTGTCCTCATGCTAGAGTATTTGTTAATGGAATGACTGTGGCATTTTAATTTCGGTCCGTCTTAAACCTTTTTACATGACTGTATTCTACTGGATCTAAGATGTCAGTGATTTAAGGCCCTCTCATTAACTTATACACCGTTAAGAAAGAAAATCGCCGTCAATTAATTATGTCAATTAACCATGACATTCCCCTTTCAGAACGTGACCATATGAAAGATGTGCCCGTTAGAAAAAAAAAAAAGAAGAAAAAGAGCAGCAGCCAAAATGGAGTCACTTTGGCTAAGCCACGTCACCAAACCAAACTTAATTAACCTCGGTGCAGTTCGAGCCTCTCCCAGGACTGGAATTTTAAACCAATCAGTCTGGAACTTCCAGACCAACACGAGTGAGGCAATCTGCCTGACGAGACCCCCTGCCTTCTCCCTAGGGACGGCGTCCTAGGCTCACATCATCCACTCTTCAGAGTCCGGCCTCTTTCTGCCTATCAATATTTTCCATTTTGTACAACCCCTTCTGGCTGCCTGATTCACGAATCCTTTAATAAAGCCAATTAGGTCGTCAAATTTACTCAGTTGAATTTTGTATTTTAACATGCCTGAGGCCCAACGAAATCTATTCTAAAAGAGATGACTGCTTTTAAACTCATCCTAGGTAAGATTTTATAAATATCCATATATTAATAACATCAAAGTTTACTAAACGCTTACCTTGAGCCAGGCATTGTTCTAAAGCACATTTCATCCATGACCTCATATCGGCTTGGCCGACTTTTCCTGTAAGGGGACAGAGGTAAATGTTTTAGGCTTTGTGAACCTCACAGTGTCACAACTAGTCACCTCCCATTGTAGTCTGAAAGCAGCCTCAGAGGATAGTAAGCGAATGGGCGTGGTCGTGTCCCAATAAAACTTTACTTGTGGACACGGAAATGTGAATGGTGTACAACTTTCTCGTGTCACGAAATACCCTTCGATTTTCCTCCATTTAAAATGTATAAACCTTTCTTAACATGTGGGTCGTACAGGAAGAGGGAATGGGTTAGATTTTGGCTCATGGGTTGTAGTTTGCTGACCCCTGTCTCTTGCGATCTTCATATTGTCCCTACAAGAAAAATGCTATTATTATTCTCATTTCACACGTGAGGAAACTGAGTCTCAGAGAGGTAACTTGCCCAAGGACACACAGCAGGTGCGTGGTCAAGCTGGGGTTCTAACCCAAGCGGTCTAACGCTGCAACTTTTTTTAATAAGTTGCCCTAAATATAAATATGGTTTAGCCTAAATATGGTTGCCTGCCAATATTTTTAACTTTCATTCTTGATTACAAAATTTCCACATTTGTGTTGAAAACTTCGAACCATACAGAGTTATAGGGAAGAAAATGAAAGTAATCCCAGCCTCTAGAGATAAATGTTTGAGGGTTCAAACAAAGGTGAACGGCTCACACAAGCTGAGCAAAGTTAGAATGTTCTGAACACTGTGTGACTTTGGAGAGGTTGCCTAACCTCTCTGGGCCCTTGTCTCAAAGGAGGGGGCTCGCTGACATGACACAGTGCTGCAAGCTCTGCCAGGCCTGACCATGGAGTTCTGTTTGTAAGGATTGTGCAATATCAGCTTGCTCTATCCTAACTGCCTGAGTGTGGAGGGTGAAGTCACCCATGGGCCAAGCGGCTGCTGAGTCTCCCTGCCTCTGGCTCCCCCAAATCCCAAGCACCAAGTGGCTTGGGAGAGGCAGCAGTGACACCAGAGCCTGACTCAGGGGATCCTAGGACGTTCGGGCTCCCTTCAGAACTGATGCTGGGGACCACTCTGCCCAGAGTGAGCAGAGCTCCAGACAAGCCGAGAGGCAGAGACTTCAGCCAGCGCTGCCTAGGGTGGGTTTGCACAGGCAGAGGCATCTACAGGCTGAGGTTCCCACAGCTGGATGGCTGGGTCCGCTCCATCTCTCGGTCAGACAGGCCCGGGGTCTTGTCCCGCGTCTCATGGTCATCGGCTGTGGGTACGTCCCCTCTCTGAGCCTGTTTCCTTGCCTGTGGAATGGGGATAACAAGCACCTTGTGGGATCAGTTCATAATCATATCCCGCTTAGTTCTTGAGATGATGCCTGTAATGCAGCTGGTGCAGGGGAGAAGCTTAATAAGTGGCCATTTCTGTCCCGTTCTCTTCTGATACTTTTCAGCAGTGCTCTTTGAAAATATTCTTCCACCGCACAATGAATTGTGGACCTACTAGGTGCCAGGGCTGCACCCAAGGTGGGAGGGTGGGGAAGGCAAAGAGGAGAAAGTCACAGCCCTGCCCCCAAGCAAGTCAGGGAGGGGAGGGGAGGATCTCCGGGACTTTGACACAATCCGAATGTTGGGACAAAGTCCTCCAGGGCCCAGGGGCCGGAAAAGTTGGAGAAACCAGAGAAGGCTTCTCGGAGGCACTTTGGCTGGGTCTTGGAGGATGGGGAAAGATTATGGCCCAACCCAAAGGGGACAGCAACAAGGCAGAGGAGGAGGAGGAGCCACGTGAGCGCAGGTGTGGGGGTGGGAAGGACGAGAGACATCCAGTGATCACAGGCCCACCAAGTTCTCCTAGGGGACCACAGGAGAGTGGATGAGGGCTGGATGGGTGGGAAAGAGGGAGTCGTAGAGGGTACTGAGCAGAGAGGGGAGCTCTCCAACAGCCCAGGGGGGACAGTGAAAGGGCTGTGGTTCCGCAAGAGAACAGGAGCAGTCGGAGGCAGCCCCCCCCCCCAAGAGCACCCCTGCACCTGGCGCTATCTCAGACGTGGTCTTCCTCAGCCCTACGAGGGCCACAGTCCCAGTTTAAAGATGGAGAAACCGAGGCTCAGGAACATTAAGCCTCTTGCCCAAGGTCACAGAGCAGACAAGGAGCCACCCTTTCCTCTCCCGTGCTCCCGGGACAGATCCAAAGCTGACTTTGAGGGCAGGATGCGGACAGCGATTGTGGGGTGATGCCAACCCTAGCTACACCGAGTCTCCCCACAGTCCCCTGGAGACACCACAGAAGGGAGCAGGCAGGGGCTCGGCAAGGGCAAGTGACTTCTGCAGGCCCACATATGAAAGGTGGGAGTCCAGGCCCCGCCTTCGCCTTCGGAACCCAAACCATTCCCACCGCCCAGTACCACCTCTAGGTTTATTCCTAGGCACACCTAACATTGGGAGGAGCCCAGGTCAGAAAGACTCAGTCTGTCCCCTTTGGCTGCCAGGCCCTTGCTGCTTCTGTTGTCACCACAGACCAGATCGTGCTGGTCTCTCTTTGGCTCCATCTCCAGCCAGAAGCGGCATCGTCACTGCCTGGACTGGGGGTCTCGGTGGCAACACCGAAGCCATTGTGTCAGTTGGTCTCAAGGAGGGACCTTCCCCTGAGCTGGGCCTCTGCCTCGCCACACCTTCTGGTGTCTTGTGGAGACACCCCTAGGTTCTGGTGCCAGACCCTGAAACACACAGCGGCATGGTGATATAAGGCTGCTCTGCTGGGCAGCGGAAAACCAAGAAATGTAGTGAATCATCAGGAAAAGGGGCACGGTAGGGCCTGGAAGCTCACACCTACCATCTCTCGCCTGGGCCTCAAACCACCCACAAAGTAGCCAGTTATAAACCCATTGTACAGACGTGGGCTCAGAGGCTCAGCTGGGGAAGAGATGTGCCTAGCAGGATCACCCAGCAGTGGAAGGACAGCGCGGGGTCCCAGCTCTGCTCTCTCCAGTAAGGGGTAAAGAGGAAAAACCCACTGCACTCAGCAGACACCTGACTCCAGGGCTGGGCTGTGACGCCACCAATGAATATGTATATAAAAAGGTTTTCTTTTAATTTTTAAAAATCAATTTTTTTTCCTTTTTAAAAATGTGGATGGGACGGAATAATAAATGTTCTTGGTAAAAAAAAAAAAAAAAGGGGGCAGATCAAACTGACACGCTGTGAAAAGCCAGCAGCTCTAACATTTTATGATTGAATGCAAAAAATATGTTGAGTTCCTCAGCTGAATAAGTAATATAAACAAAAGAAATTCTTTTTTTTTTTTTTAAGATAAGGGGTGAGTGTGGCCATTATCTGAAGACCTCTTTGCTGCCTTTCACCGATGCTCTTCTGAAGGTAGAAATCTCCCTTTAAAAAAAAAAAAGCACTAGGCTCCGAACTTTTCTAGAACTTAGGCAGAAAGTTCGAGCGTGTGTAAACACAGTAGCTAAGCGATGCAAATGCAGAAGTCATCTATGGTGATACAATCACAGATCTAACGACATAGGGTGGCAGTGAAATCCCCCTTCCCCCCAAGAGCAGAAGGGAAGAAACCGCAGAATGTTCCAGAGTCGGCACCCGCGCCCTGTGGCGCAATGTTTGTGTACCTAGCGTTTCGGTGCCACCGCAGCGGCCTCCACTGCCCAGAGGGCCGTCGCTAGGGCCTCAGAGCGCGGGTGACTGAATGGGGGTCCTCCCAAACGTGTGTGCAGGTCCTGGAAATCCTCCTTAAGCGCCACAGGATTGGATTTCGAATTCAGCCCTTGTAGATGGAGGAAACCAGGACGAGGGTGTCGGGCTTGGCTCCTTTTGGAGCGCTCAAGCCCAGCTCTTAAGAGCTCCCCAGTCAGTATGTGTTTGTGGGATAAAGAAACGGAGCGGCTCCATCTGTCTCCAGCAAATCTAACCAGAAACGTGTCGTGCGGCCCCTGGGGGGCGCTGTCGATCGCCACCCAAACACCAGAACTCCTCAATCCACAAGGGCGCCTTGTGAACCCCCCAGAGATTTTAACCCCCTGACCCACCTGCCTCGGCTCAAAGTGTTTTAGGGACCCCACGAGTAGAGAGAACACTTTCCCACCAGGGGTCTGATTGGAAGGTATTTTACTTATTAAATGTATTGTTTTGTTTTTTTTTAAGTAACAGGAAAGTCTGGAAAACAGAAAAACATTCCCACCCCAACGCGCCCCGGTTGTTCGTGATAGGAACGACATTTCTACGGACACATCTGTTAAAATTTTCTCCAACCTTCATTTCAGGCTCCTCTCCATCCTGTCCCCGCGCCCCCAGCCGTGTGACACTGGGCAAGTAAATCGCTTCTCCTTGGGACTCTGTTTCCCCCCAGTTGGGGACGAGGAAATGAGGGAAGGGGCACACGTGTGTGCAAGAGCGCAGGAAGCCACTTTCCGCTCCGGGCGGCGGCGGGGACGCGGGGAGGGGGCGCGGCGGGGGTAAAATTTTTTCCTTCAGATTCATTCTTCTATTTCTTAGCCAGGTGACCTTGGGCTGGTTACTAAGCCTCTCTGGCCGGCCGGGCTGCGGGGCCGGGGCCCAGCCAGCGCGCGGCCAAGCGGATCTCGCTCCGAGGCCGGTGACGTCTTCGCCTCTGGCTCTGCCGGCGCCAAGCCGGGCAGGGCGGGTGACGTCACCGCCCGGTCACGTGACCGCCATTCAAACAAACAACTCCCCTCCCCCTGAGCGCCCGCCCTGCCCCGCCCCTGGAGGGCCACATATAAACGCACTCCCCGGGGCAGAGCTCGCTGCGAAGGACACCGGGGCGGAACGTGCGACGCGGGCCGCAGGGACAGTCAGGGGAGCAGCAAGAAAACCCGCACCACAGCCCCTCGCTCAGTCCAAAAGCAGTTTGGGTTCCGCGCAAAGAAAGTCGCCGGGGTCGGGCTCTTCCTAGAAAGCCGCTTCCCTGCCCTTGGCTTCGGAGGACAAAGAACACAGGAGTACTTGCACGCTGGGGGCGCTGGGGCCGGCCATGGTCTTGGAGGTGGGCTCGCTGGACGCCGGAGGCCTGCGGGCGCTGCTGCGGGAGCGCGCGGCGCAGTGCCTGCTGCTGGACTGCCGCTCCTTCTTCGCTTTCAACGCCGGCCACATCGCCGGCTCGGTCAACGTGCGCTTCAGCACCATCGTGCGGCGCCGCGCCAAGGGCGCCATGGGCCTGGAGCACATCGTGCCCAACGCCGAGCTGCGCGGCCGCCTGCTGGCCGGCGCCTACCACGCCGTGGTGCTGCTGGACG